TCTAAAATGTCTTATTAAGGATTTAAAGGTGGTCATTTGGGATTGACTCCTGGACAACTCAATCCTGGTGTCTCCGAATGAAGCTTTAATCCACAGTAATCGGATATTCATGGCACTTTCCTCACTCGACGATTTTTAGTAAAAACTCGACTCCCGAGCCATTTGGCGGGCATACTTTTTCGCAGAAATATTACCCTTTATGATACCAATACATATTCCGAATATAAGCCATATCGGATTATAAGTAAAATTTTTAGTAATAACTCGACTCCAGCGCCACCTGGCGAGTCAGACTGTGAATCTAACTATCCAGAGACCCACTCAAACACACAAAAAATGTCGTTAAAACCGGTTCACACACGAACACACGTACAGAAAAATTATATGTACAAAGAAAGATACGTGTTACTTTCAGTACGTTTTCAAATAGCCCCAATTTTTTCTAAGAGTATGGGATCGATTTCATATATCTCCATACTACATACCATGTTCGAGTACTCTCTCATGAACACTTCCAGAGATATGCTGTATGAAAAATTCGGTTTGTACGTGAGGTGCCACGCGCCTTCACTTAGCGGTATGAAATATACTTTACATTCTATTCATACCTACCAAATATACACAATTTCATACAAATCGATCAAGCCGTTTCGGAGGAGTTCGACCACAAACACCGTGAAACGAGATTTTTATATCTATATACATATATAAAACAAAGTCGTATATATATAAAACAAAGTCGTGATAGTTACACCATTTATAACTCATATTTGAGATATGTATTGACAATAGGAAAAACAATACCATTGAAAAAAAGAGCCGCCAGATGGCGTTCGTCTCGTATTCGAGATATGTATTGACAATAGGAAAAACAATACCATTGCAAAAAAAAGCGGCGCCAGGTGGCGTTGGAGTCGAGTTATTACTAAAACTCGTGGTTATGGTCCGATTATCCTGAGATTTAAAATTTGTATTGATAACAGGAAAAAATAATTCTTTCGAAAAAAATTTCCCGCCCGGTGGCGCTCGAATTTATTTCATTATCGAAATATATGAATTCACATATCTATGGTCCTCTACAATAACGACACAAATTCGGTGCTTGCTTTACGGCGACTAAACAGAATAAAGACAAGTCTTGATAAATGCTTACAATTGTAAGACATTAAGGTATTGGATTTCTGAGGACCAATGATACTCCCCAGTTTGGAAATTGCCACCAACTATACTACACAGATTCAAAGACGATTCACCATCGAACGAGATCGTTCTTGCCGTAAGGACTTGTTCCCGGCATACCGCTTTTGTCAGGTTAGTTAAGACGGCAATGAACGGCAATGTCTTCTGTCGACCACAAAACCAAATGTGAACGTGAATTGCTGTCGAAAACGTTGGACCAAATGTTTCAATAAAAAAATTAATTTTGGGTGGTGTTCTTGAACCAGATTCAACTGAATCGCTCTGGTACGATGGAATTTCCAATTAGACTATTTAGGGGGTGTTCCTGAGTCAGAATACGCGAAGTTCAAAATCGTGGCAAGTTCCGATTTCAAAAACGGTCACTTTTTCGAATGTCAGCCGAAATTTTCGTATTTGTCATATAAGGTTTTATATGAATGGTTAACTGAAATTTGCTGCCAAAAATTGGATTTGCTCACACAAGCTCTTGGCTCAATCCTTATGAGTCGATTTAGACGCGGTCGTCTGTCCGCCTGAATGTATGTCTCTCAGTTTTCGAGATATCCGGATGAAATTTGGTAGGCGGGTGTATTTTTGACGTAGAATACGTCTTACGTTTCATTATTGAGGCTATGCTCAAATGTTGTAGTTGTAATTTTTAGACCTTCACGAGAACGCTTATTGCACGAGAACTAGTGGAGCTATTTCAAAGAAAGGTGTGGCGTTTTAAAGACGAAATTCCAAACCTATCGACAAATACCTTTCTGTTAGTAACCGATTCGGTGTCTGTCCTAGAAACGGTAGAACGGTAAATATTGGCTTATTTTGGGGTCAATGTTGAGCCTTTAAAGTCCTCTAGCAACTTATGATTTGCAGATATAACTTTCATTTTCGGGATATAGGTTCTATGGAGCAATAGAAATATTATCGTGTACAAATTTTATATAAATTCAACAAATATCGAGCATTGAAAGGCAAATTGTTGAAAAAATTGGCAATTTTTTTATTATCAAAATTCGAATGATTTTGTTTTTATTTCTTTAATCAAAAATTCTGGTATTTTTCATTCGTTTGGTATATGGGAAGTATTGGTTGATATCTTCTAAGCATGTTTATTTTATTCAATTATATGGGCATAAATGATTTTCCATACCAAATCACTTCGTCATCATTTTGCAAACATGTGCATGTGTAAAAACAAAAACAGATTGCGCAGGTGAGGGGAAATAAGTATAAGCTGATCGCAGCATATTTTACACATTAACTAATTCTTATTAGGCATACCTTGATTTTCTATAATTAAATTTGTTTGCTTATATAACGACAATTGACTAATAATTTTGCACCAATTCTGAAAAAAAAACTGTGAAAGCACAGGGTTGAAACTTCAAATCTGCTATTTGAAAATTCTCTTAGTTGATATATGCACTTTTATAAAAATTAATGTTATCAAGAATATATTGCTATACAAATTTTGAATTTAAGCCAAAAAAATCTAAAACGTTTAGTTCTTAAGATCTGCATAATTATTGTTAGTGTCGCAAAGATCCAATAAATAAGTAAATAACTGTTACAAGGGAAGTTCTCAAAACAAGCTTACTATCTGTACTAATACTATCTCAATTTTTCTAGATTGTTGCAAACAATTGTTTTGTGATATTTTTAACAGAGACTGTCAGGAGCAATTGCTTTCGTGTTAATACATACATATAAGAAGACTTATAAAGGGGAGGATTTATTGCATTTTCGCTAAATCATGCTCTAATAAACAATTAAATATTTGCTAAGTACACGCAACGCGATGTGCAACTAACCTTTGAAGTCTTTTCTCAACAATATAAACAAATGTTTTGATGAATGAGCAATTTTTCAGCTGCTGTAGATGAATGGCGACAGTTGCCAACCACCATCCCGTTATAACCCAGGTTCGTGCATTGGCCCGAGCAACAGCCAAAAAGTTCTTTCCTCATTGCGGTCGGCCAGCGGCAGGCAATGGCAAATCTCCGGGCGTATTCCTGCCATAAAAAAGCATTTTATAAAATCCATCTGCCCTTCGGAGACGGTGTAAAACTATAGGTCTATCCCTTTGTGCGACAACCATAACTAGAACGCCACAAATTGGAGGAGAAGATCGGCCATGCACTTAGCAAAATTGTGAGCGCCTAATATTGCGTGCTTTCCGCTGTCACGCTTATCATGATAAGATGTACATATGTATACATACATACATACATATATGGCTGTTTTCATTTTAATCATTATTATTTACAATTGTTTTTATTTTTGTTTGCAGTGATTAAATAAATTACGTGCCTCTTGCTGACACTTATGCAAGTCACTTAAATAGTACAGCTCCCCTATGGCGTTGTTGACATGTGAGTATTCAGTAGATATGCTGATCAACAGATGTGTAATGTTAGAATTTTTTTGTGTATTTAAAGAAGGTGCAAATTTTGAAAAGATTAGTACTTACGGAATTTCAAAGTGAATATCTTGTTGCATATACAAAAGAGAAGAATAAAAAACTAAATAATGAATTCCTTGGAGTGTAGCTATGATGAAAAGGAGCGAATCTGGTGTAATGCAATTCAGTCGCCGACTTACGACTTCAACTGTTCGCTGGGAAAAATTATATACAATAATCTAAAAAATTTCCCGAAAAAAATTTGCCAGGTGCGATTAAATACAATATACTTATTTTAATAGCGTATATTTTTTATTAAATAAATACAAGTAACAGTCTAAAGTTCAGAACATTTAGCAACCAAAATTTATTATGTGTTACGTGTGAAGTTTTTATACGGAAACTAACCAAAACAAGAAATTTTAAAATTAACTGTTAAATTGCAACTTTTGTATATTTTAACGGCTATGTGACAGGGGATGGGATTGTATCTAAAGCTGCAGAAAGTAAAAGCTGGAAATAATTTTTTTTGCCACTTAAAAACTGAGCATAAAGTTTTGGTAATTTAAAAAGTGGAAGTATTTTTTGTCGAAACTAGGAGTAAATGTTGGTGTTAAAAAACTGGACATTTAAAAACCGGACACAAGTTTTTGGTTATTAAAATTACTGGACATAAATTCCGGTTTTAAAAACTGGACATCATTTTTTGGCAAATTTAAATCTAAACATAAATCCTTGGTCGTTAAAAACTGATGGAAGAATTTATGTAGTTAAAAAACTTTAAATCAACTTTTGGTCACTTATAAACTGTACACGCAGCAGCAATTTACAATAAGAAGGTAAATTAACCGGTATGGAAAAAACATATTGAAAATAGTGACAAGCAACAAATAAGTAGACATGGCCATATTAATTAATTCACAAGTCATTGTTTACATTTTTCTATTCATCTTTTAAAATAAAAAGATTATATCGATGGTCCTATGCAATAACGACACAACTCAAAATTTCATATTTTTCAGTAGAATCAATTAATGATTTTGTGTTTCGTAATTTAGCAATAATATGTTATGGAACGTATTTCTTCCGAATTATTTGCAGTGATTCTGTAAAGAATATGTGTAAGCCTTCAAATTATGACTTTTTTCTAAGGATTTAGTAAGAACTCCTAAGTAGTTAAACGAAATAAACTCCACTGGTATTGCTGAACAAACGCACAAAACGAAAAATGTCGTTCCTTCACATAAAAGCATCACTAACTTATCGACAGTTTTTGACTTATGCCAATATTCACGATAAATGTGACACATGCACCACTGTTCAGTAGTAACCCTGCAGTGAAACGCCAAACTAGTCAGGAAAAATACTAGTTTGCCACTATAATCTCCTGACTGAAACCGAACTAGTTCGAAAATGACCAGACCAGTACCAAGTACAAAACGATTTATGTATTCATGCCCTGTTTTAATTGACTTCGGCAATTGAATACAATAGAGTACACAAAATATTATAACTTTTATTTGGGTATATTGTAAACCGTTAAAGCGAGTACGTACTCGTAATTATACCATACTTGTTAAATAATGATTAATATTCATAATGATTATTAATTAAAGCATGTTTTTTTTGAATAACCGTTTAATGCTTAAATACCGATATTAGCACCTTTTTAATGATTAATAATTACTTAAACAAATTTTTTAAATTAATTCGTTAATTTTAATTACATCATTTTAATTATATCATTTTAAATTATTTTTGACTATTTTTAATTACAAATTAATATAATTATTTGATTAATTTTAATTATCAATCAACAAGCCAAAGTAAAGACAAGAATTAGGAATGTTTATTAACTGCTTGAATTTAATATATTTTAATGAAAACTTTTGGTTTTATTTAAGTTCACTCAAAATGAGCTAAAGTATTCGTTTTATTTTTAACTAAAATGTTTTCTTTTCCATATTATTAAAAAAAGATTAAAATATAGTATTTATTGTACCTGAAAGCTTTTACTTTTAATATCATTTAATGGAACATGCCTTTAAATTTATGTTCGAATGTTTCAAATATTTATGTATTTATTTTTCCTTTTAATTAACACTCAAAAATTTTACACTAATTATTGGCAAATCTAAGGCTGCTAAATAAAAATGTGTAATATTTTAAAGTATACTCAATCAAAAGTCTTTCATTGTATATTCATGTATTCATTTAATTTTTTGACTTCCAAAGTAGCGGTTTTGGTCCATAACTGGACTAGTATTTTTCTGTCTGTTTTGAACTAGTATGAGACTGGTATATTTCTGACCGAAATCTGACAATTGCCATCTCGTAGGACATCCCCATGTTAAAAATACCAGTTGATAAATATGGTTAGTTATACACCTAATCCGCTATATAACTCAAAAACATGAAATTTTGAGTTGTGCCGTTATCTATATCGACATGTCCATAGCAAATGTTATATTGTATGAACGGATTTGAATGACCAACATTTTATATACGCAAGTAGATTTTTTAATGAAAAAAAAAATTGTTTTGGGTTTTCAAATGATCAAAAATATTCCAGTTTTAACTTTCATGCGATTATGTTCATATTTAGAGGTTAAGCCAACTGAAAAATAAATAGAGAAGAGCGTCTATATACGTATATACATATATAGGCAACGTATAAATCGATAATACGCGTTTTCTGATAACGCTTCGTAATCTTTTTAAGTGCATGCGCGTTTATTGCACAGCTACTTTGTCGTAAAACTGCTGTACTCTTGTCTCAATAACTATAGTTCTGTTTATATATAGTTTAACACATATTAGGGATGTTCAAATGAAATCGGTGTTTGTAAAAACCGTTTTTTTAAATTTGGTTTTTAATTTAGGTGTTAATCGTTTTTTGTTGTTTTGCTTTTAAACCGAAAATCGAAAATTCGGTTTTTACATTCCAAAGCAATGAATAATTATTTTGCAATTCGTCGAGATGAGAATAAAATTTTATGACGTACCACAAACTTCAAATTAACTACTCAATTTTGGTTTGCTGATGCAGTAGCTAAGCATAATCGATTCTGAAGTCAATTGTGAATATTGAAATTTCGTACAAAGTTTTAAACTTGGTATGTAGTAACATAACCCATATTTTAATAAAATATTAACATAAAATATTTACCATGAAAAACATTAGAAATATTAAAAAAAAAAACAATCACTGTACAACAAAATTTTGAAGTTAATAACATATTACCATTTGCATAAGTATATACATATATAATTATATACATATCGTTCATTCACTTCAAAAAATACAAATTTGGAGTTGAGTTTGCAGAAATTACTGGTACCTTTTCTTCTATGTTGTGTAAAAATTTCATGGTTGCATCGATTACCAGTATCTCACTAGAACAAAATATGCACTCATTTTTACTATGGGAGTATATGTAAATTCAAAACTTTAAAGCCGTTTTTATCGAGGTTTGCTTTTTGGCATTACGATACTATTGAAGGAAATGAGCGTATGTATTTATTTATAGCTTAAAAAAGTTTTTTTTTATGAAATGAAGTTTGTTTTTGTATGTCCAACATTTTATTATATTTCGTATATTCGGAAATGAAGTTGTTATATAAACTTAAGAAAAATTATTGTTTATATTAATTTGCGTTGCACAGCAGTAAGTAATAAGTGCAAGTGCAAGTGAAAATTTAATTTAATTTGATATCGATGTTTTTTCGTTTTTAACCGACTTCCAAAAAAGGAG